AGTGTTGGTGCAAAAACGCAGCCTTGCCTCACCCCTGAACAGGAAAGAACATCAACAGGTTCCCACCACACTTTTCAGCACGTTCTCTACCTGCATATAGGCTTGCTATTAAACCAATAATCGGTGTCAGAGTTCCCCAAAGCCTCTGGATCTCCCATAGTGATTCATAATGTACCAAACTCCTTCTTGAGGTTGGTGTAGACCACAAGCAGCATGCGACCAAACTCACAACTACGTTCCACGGATATGATCGAGGACTAAGTGGGGGAGGTAAACACGTGTTTCGGGAAATCTCTCACGACTGAGGACAGCACAAAAAACACTTCCTATATAGTTCTACGAGATACACCAGGGTTACCATCCATTGGTGGCGCGAGATATGAAAGAGGTCAGTAAAATTGCTTGCTAAGAAGCTACCACTGGACCACACAGCACATACATACTGATTCCTCTGTCGGTAAATCATAAACCTCGTGTGATCAGATATCATTCTGATAAACAGCTTTGATAATAAGACAGAGTTAAGGTCAAAGGCCCGTGACGTGAGCAGTTATTATACTGCACTAGCTGCATAACATTTTCTTAAATATGTCAAAAATGCATAAAGTAAGGAGCAACACATTATTTCACACAACTATTCTTAACATTGTCCATTGTCGCTGTACCATCGTACGGAGCACAAAGCATGCACAAACGTCATGTCTGGAAAGTTTATTTAGTATATATACTACATGGTCATTCTACCGGCGAAAAGCTTCGTAGTTTATATACCAGAGCGGCAGGTAGTGGGCTAAAAAGTACTCGTTTTTCTCTAAAAACCATGTTCCTGGAAGCAAAATTGAATCTCTGTCAACTTTACCTGCGAAAGTACTATTATGGTTCCTTTCCACTGGCACTATGTCATCCCGGAATATTCTATTGAAGAACTTCAACATGAAAGCCAGGGGACTCTACAGTAGGTGCAATATAATTTCGTATGGAATGATATTCATTCCTGGGGTGGTCTTGAGAGTAGACCCCATCTACTTCCTAGTAAATGAAAGGTTGTATGAAAGTTCCATTGAAGTTTTACTTTCGAATCGTGGTAGTGTTTGTTCCTGACAATTCTTGCAGTATGACCCTCCCCAGAGGAGAATTTGGTTAGTACCTTTACATTGACATTGTAAATGTTTCGAGCTCTTTCACTGTCTGTCTTTTTGTAGTAGACAATAGTCATGTTATTGGGATGTTATGTCCATTACTTGTTTCCTTGCTCTGACAGGTTCTTTACACTCTTCTGGCCACCATGGTATTGGGGGCCAGTGGATGCTTCTCGTGACCAATGAGATTGCCAAATTCTGTTACATGACGAATTATAGAGCTAAATTGGCTCACAACTTCTCTAACCGATGTGAAAAAACTGAACCTTCGCATATTTCCTTGCGATATTTTAATCGCTGCTTAAAGTGGAACCCAGTTGTCTTGATCCAGAAAGGAGAGTGTAGCTGTCAATTTACTCTCTTGAGTTTTACAATATTTTGTCGATTATTTAGAGGTATGAACACCAAAGCCATAATGCATAGTCTCATCAGTATGACTCTCACTGTCTTGAGGTTAATTGTTGATATCAGGATGTTGGATTTTCCTATTTCAGATAGATTCCCCGGCAGTACATTAAAGTAGGGAAATAATAACTTTACTTGGTGAATGGCATCAGCTTCCTCATGCTGTTTTGCTGTTTTACAGTGGGGAGGTTCGAGAAGAATTCCTCTTCTTTTTTGCATCGAAGTCCACCGCTATACCATGCCCATAGGTATATTGGTGGCTTCTATTTACCTCCGTTATTTAAAGAGGGAGAAGTGTCCCCCTTAAGCCCCCCATTCACGCTACGTAAAATAGCTACGGTTCAAGTATGGTTCAGTAAAACTGTGCAGTTAATGTAGCGTGAGTGGGGCTTTTTTTTGGTTTGCGCAGTTGGACGGAACCATAACATGACAATATCCAACGTGTTTGATATTTTCGCGGCTTGTGGCTGTACCATAACGCAGACCATAACCGTGTGTGGGTGTTTTCACCCAATTTGCTCAGTTTTGACTAAAGGAAATCGTGAGCACGTGTTTAGCTGAAAAATATATTTGCTAATTTCGTTTATCTTTTTTTATTTTCAGGTGCATTTTCCCTAACATGGAAAATAAATTTAGCAGAGAATTCTTAAGTGAAGTAATAGAACTGTATAGAAGTTTCCCGTGTTTGTGGAAAATAAAAAGCAAAGAATATTCAAATAGATTTTTTTTAAATGAGGCTTACGTGGAACTTGTGAAGAAATTCAGAGAGAAAATACCGAATGCAGATAGAGATATGATAGTGAAAAAGATAAATGCTATGCGCAGTGCAGTGCGGAAAGAACAAAAGAAAATTGAGCAATCTAAAAAATCCCTCTTCATCCCTTCTATCCCTCTTCAAAAGCCATGGCTTGCACCATCTTGACTTGTTTTTCTTTTTTCTTTGTAATGTAAGTGCCAGCGCTACATGTACTAAATCGTCCGATGAAAAACAATCAGAGAGAGACATCTTTCCGATTCAAAACGTTGTGAAAACTGAGCAAAAGAATGTAACGTGATACCCACTCGGGCATAGGTTTGTGCAGTTGACCATACCATAACCCTACCATTGCTAAAGACTGTAGCGTGAATGGGGGGCTTTAGGCATCCACTTTACTGTTGCAGACCTTTAGGGCCGTTATCTCCTTGGAAGGAGTTTCTTCACCATTTTTACAGAAGACTGTAGAAATTCTAATAGGCTTCCTTGTAATCGGTACATTTCAAGATACTGTATGTGGGGTACTTGACCATAGCTTGTCTACATTTGATGCAAATCGTCCATTGTCAATCAGCACCACTCACCAGTATGACTAAATTTCTGCCCCTGTCTAACAGCCTGCAACCTTCTCTAGCCATTATCTTATTCTTCGGTTGCTGGATCTTCCTTTGATTGCCAACACAGCTCTTCATGATGTTGTTTGTTTATTTACTAAAAATCCCCTACTTCATCAACACCTGTCATTAACGGCGTATACAAAATATACCGACAGGGTGGAACCGTGTAAGGTAATGTATACCTTCTAGACGTAGAGTCTAGGAGGTATACACTCCTTCCTGGGGAAGATGGGGCTCTACAAAGAATCCCATCTCCCCCAGGAATATGGGGCTCGAAAGTCTAGATCTCACTTCGGTTCCGGTGGTTGTATATTTTTAATTGCTTAGGGAAGCCCCACTCCCCCATGAAAACAGTGAAATCTCCACGAGACGATACTTTTTTTCCATCCAAGGGCCCTGCCCACCACCGAATCGAACAGGGGGAGGTTACATCATCAGCCACATAGTACCTCCAGGGGATATTATTTAGATAAGCGAAATATCTGCACTGCCTTCAAGGTCCTCAGTCAGCTCTAGAGATAAAAACTGGCATGAAATCCTCCCCTCCCTGGTGGCTGATGCCAGTAATGTAGATAATCCAAATAAGAAACCCTGCTGTATTTTTTTTTTTTTTTTCTGTAAATATCCTCAGGCTTATTTTTTATGAGATAAAGGAATAATGTAAAGTCTTCGTGGTAAAACGACTATGGCCCAAGAATTACAAAGACTCCTGGTAATGCAATGACGAAATAAAGGAGGCTAACCACAGGTAGGAAACGTGTCATGAACTTCAAGAAAAAGGTTGACAGGTACACTGATTCCGAGTTGCTCCAAGAATTCTGACTTCCCACACAAGGAGGTACTCAGCAACTGGTGAAGCATTCTCTCACTTACCTGAAAAAGATCGAGCTACCACAGGACTAGGTTACCTACTCCTTAGTCAGGGGTTGCTTCAATTTTCAAGATTTTAATTCTGCCAGTGCATTCTTCTTTATTCAAATTCAGGCTAACCTTTTTAAATGGACTTGTCTAAGTGGACACTGGCGCCCAAAAACAGCTGTGTCACCTCTTTAAATGTGATCCAATATGCTAACAATTTGCTTAACACAGAAAACCACACCATTCCAGCAAGGCCATCATTAAGTCTATCGGTGTGGAAGAGAGAGGCGTCGGAGACAGTTACGTGTATGGTTCAGTGTGAAAATTAATGCAGAAACGGGTCAGAAAAGCGCCTCTTCTGGTAATGAATCAATCATTTACTTTGCGATGTTTGGCAAGCTTTAGTGGCGTAACCAGAAGCTCGTCTTTATCTCATATTTTGTAAGTAATACTTTTCTATTTGTTCTGTGGCATGTTTATTTTACTCACGCCTTATCATATTCTACGGATGTAATTGCTTTACTATAGCTCTTGTTAGTTTAGTGTTCCATTCCTTCCCTGTTGTTGTTTTTTACCCAATGTTTTTTATCTGCAAAATGTGGTGCTTGCATTTACTAATTATGCAAAGTATTCGTGGCAAAAATCAGTGCAATCGCATTGTTGTGAGCTGCGCTTTGACGTTACTTTTAACCCTGATCAAGGATCTGGATAGCCTTTAGATTAATGAAGTATCTTAATTTTCATTATTATTATTTTTGCAGTAAGATCGGCCTTTTAAATTCTGGCTATCTCTCACCTCCCCATTACCAGTCATAGCGAGGGCATTATTTTCAAATGTGTACGTTTCTTTCCGTTTGTCGTGGCTGTTCGAAATATAAGAGGTGATCAAAAAAAGCATTACTTAGAGGGAGCTATGTTTAACAATTCTAACATGATTTGCTGGCCGTAGATTAATAAATGGAAAAACATAAACGATTTGATGAAGTTATCCCTACATTCTTTGCAACGGTGCATCTTCTATGATGAAAATTTTCTTTTCTTTTGTTTAATTCCATTAAGTTTCGCTCAGCAAAAACATATTTCACTATCTGTTGTTGCAATGTCTGGATAAAGTGTCGCGCTCTCTTCTTGCTCAGCTGAGGTGCCCTGCGTGTCCATGCGGCCAGGGCGCAAGTGGCAAGGGGCATGGGGCGTCAGGGAGGGCACGAGGCGCCAGGGGAGCCGCCACAGGTCGTCCGCGAACCTTTTCGAAAGCGATCGTTCGAGGCGTCTCTGCATGTAAACATCTCGCGGGAGAGACGCTCGCGGAGAACTTTTTGAGTCGAGGATTCCTGCCAGCCAAGGAAGCGATAGATGTCGTCACCATGTCGACCTACCAAGTGAGGTCGCTCGAGGAGGCCGACCAGATAATCCGGGAGCACGAGAGGAAGACCAAGACGACCTATGCCCTCCTGAGATCCACCAAGAACTTCGGCTGCGTTGATGTGCCAGGTGAGCTTTCCTAAAAACCTATCCAGAGGAGATTTACCCTCAGAGTAGCTATAATGCTTTAAAGTAAGTCTTATGTGGGTCCAGACATTGACTGTCATGCCAAACCACACATGCTCAATCGCTGATAATCAAATCCCTTGTCATTATACGAATTGCGGTATAGTTTGTTTTCCTCAACCATGTAGTGCAAGGTAGATTTTGCTTGTAATGAACGGAATGACCGAAAATAGACACTTTCCATTTTTGATACTACCTTTGCAAGTTTATAATTAGAAAGCTGCATAATGTAATACTTTGGTATACATTTACAGGAATATTTAATGCCATTAATAATGATCAAAACAGCTCTCTATCACATGGAATAATCACTGTAGGGGAAAAAAAAAAAACATAAAGAAAAGAAGGAAATAGGTTGTGACGAATGCAGAGTGGGGAATAAGTTGATGGGGTAGGGTCTAGGGGCAGTAGGGAAATACTGCAATTGGATGGGGGTCAGAGAGCGAAGCCCTTGGGTTAGGAAGGCTTTTGGCTCATACAGAGATGTTTGTGGATTTCCCAGGAATTGCTGGAGTAAGAGGGACTTGATCTCAGGGGTGCATAACCATTGTCAATTTAGGTATATTACAGTGTTGATAATTAATAGAAGGAATGATAATAGCAAGATTGGATGGTTATATAAAAAAAAAGAAAAAAAAAGTACATGGTGGTTTCTGATTTGAATCTCTTATGCATTAGCCATTATATTTTAAGTAATTAAAACAAATTCTCTAATAAACACAGCTGGTAATTCTATTGGAAAACTGCACATGGCCAATACTAATGAATTTGGTAATAATTTTATATGATGTATTCTGCCCTTTTATAACAGTTTTAGTCTCATCTTCATCTCGATGTTAACCCATTCACGACGGGTATCACGTATACATGACATGCCCACTGTGA